TCGGCGAGCAGTAAGTTCGTGGCCGCCCTCCGAGGCCGGGCGTACACAGGATGGCAGAGTTCGCGTGCGTGCGTGCTTGTGTACACCAGTGTGACCTAGAAATGTAAGATGTGCGGTGGGACTGCAGTTTCACTGTCACAGGCCGAAGGTGTGGGTCGAGCAGATGGCCAGGTTTGGTAGCAGAAACTTCCAGGCACCGGGATGTGGTAGGCCTCTGCCGACTGGCTTAATGCATTATATCCAGGACTGAAACCAGGATTAACCAAGTTTTTCATAAGAGGATGGGAAAACTTGAATTTACACAGACAAGTGCTACTACACACAGTTGCTTTACCCGCTGCCATCCCAGGAGGTTTGAGATGTTAAGCAAAGTAGACTCTGCTCCACCGTTGGAAGATAAAATCTTTAGGAGCCTAACTGATGGCAGAAAAAGTCACAGAAAGGCAGAGAGTGTATGGAGTAGGGGAGGGACTTTGCTTTATTCTCCACTCTTTGTTAGCATTTTCCCAAGCACCACCTCCTCCCTTCTAGCTACCTCTTATTGAGTCATTGCCCAGTTCAGGGAGCAGTATCACAGACCAAGCAGGTAGTACCTCCAAAATATGCGTTTAGATCCAAGCTTGAAATTTTCAAGTGACCGGTGAGGCTGCTTTGCCCCTGTGACTTACTAAAATGGAATGTAGAAATGAAGTAACATATGGCTGAATCTTAATAATTGGTGAATAGATGGTCTATATGACCCCCAGTTTACATGTATGTTGTTATACATTGTATAAAATTTCCCGGAAGTTTGAAAAATCTTTCTTTAAAGTGGTTTCCCTGTGGAAAAGACTGACTGAAGTAATACATCTTATATCCCCAAATTTACAATATCAACTTTAATTTGGAGGTCTTTGGAAGTAGTTCTTTTTAAATTTAGAGGTATAATTCAAATGATGCTGATGAGAAATTAGTAAAGAATTCTTAGCTCTCTCGGACCTTTAGATTGAAAGAAGGGAGAAGACAACAAGGCAGGATCTTACAGAGATTTAGCTTTGCAGTTCTCATCTCTTAAATATTCTTCCAGGTGGCAACTTTAATTGCAAGGTGACTCATGTACAATATTTATATTCACCTGAGACAGACCTGAGTTCTAGTCAAGGTTCACAGGGCACTGTCACAGTATCCAGCAAAGCCAGAATTACTAGAGAGTTAACACATTTAGAGATCTCTGTTTGTATATTAACTGTAGAGGCCTTATTATTAAAAGGTTGTTATTGTTTAGGCAAAATATATTTTTTGCAGAATGGTTTGTAGTAATTTATTAGACCCCTAGCAACACTGAGAATGAATAAAGTCTGTAGATTTATTCTGAATAGTCTATAGCTTTCCTATAAAGGAAATAATCACTTAGCTACATACCAGGCCAACACTTCATTAGCAAAAGAAAGAGGAAAGGAAGAAGAAACTGGATTCTGTTGCTATCTAAACTCAATTTGTATATCCCGCTTTTCTTACTTTTAGATAATAAGATTGCTTTTATTAGAATTTTGAATTTCTCAAGTCCATGTGTGCTTATATTTTTCTTTAGACAAAAACAGACTGGGAACTTTTTGTCTGAATTCTAGGTCTTTTCAGAGCCAGGTTTCAGGTCTACTTGCAAATGGATAATTTTGAAATACCATTCTACACACTCAGAAACTTTCAGTAATACTGTATTCCTGCAAGATAAAATCCAAATTCTGTCTTGCTCTCCACAGATTGATTTCAACTTTAGTCTTTTTGACTAAAAAAAGACTCTTTAAAGACTTCCATTATTTTTTCTTTTTAATTAACACATGATGATGGTACATATTTATGGAGAAGTTTTATCTCTTATTGATCTTCTTTATGAACCTTTCATTACTGTTCCCCAAATATGCTGGGCTTATTCTTCTGAATCTTTGGTTCCACCTTCCCATCTTTTCTCCACTGTCTGATTCCAGTTAATCTTTCAAAACTCAGCTCATTTCAGACCTCTTCTGAGAAGCCTTTCCTGACTTCCAGCCTCCATCCGTCATTGAGAGTATCATATTAGGAACCACAATCATGAAGACTGCTTGTAATGTAACTTGCTGAGACCTATTCTCCAAGCCATCAGAACCTTTGGATACCTTTGTTCCCCTGACTTGCTTTCCCCTTTTTATTCTCCTCCTGGAAAAGATTAAGTTGGGTTTGGGAATAAAGGTAAAATTGTCTTGTAGGAAAAAGAAATTTAAGATATATTTAGATATTTGATTAAATTCATTTCTGTACTGTTTTAACAGAACTCTATCTGACCAACCCTATGCTGGTTTCAAATAAGAACCTAAATATCCAAAAATATTTAGGCAAAGGCTTTCAGGTGTATCACCCTCCTCCAGGGATGCAGTATCCAATTGAATTCTGTTGCTTTTCTACCTCTAAAATATCTGTGAACTATGTGTATATGAGATTCCCAAGTAGTGTATAAATTCCGTGAATGCAGGATCTGTGTACTCATCCAAGCCAGTATTTTTCAGACTGTGGGTTATGACCCATTTGTGAGTCATAAAATCAATTTTTATTTTAAGAAGTAAAATGGAAAAGTATAAAACATAGAAAATATTCAAATAAACCACCCATAGGAGGGATGATTATTATTTTGTGAAACTTTTTTCAATATATGTCTATGCTTTACAAGATAAAATATGTTTCTTTTGTAGGTCATTCTCAAAGTTTGAAAAACACTCATCTACAGTCAGTCCTGATTGACTCAAAGACAGCTCAAGAAATAGGTGTTAGATATATACATGACACTTCATTGGACTGTTCATTGTAAAAAGTAAAAGCTATTAGATTTTAAAAAGTGAAGATAGTGTGGGTGTTTATAATAAAACGTGAAGCCAAATTTTCACAAACCTTTGTAAAACTTATAGAGAGTTATTTTTCTGTTAAGATATAAGTTTAAAGCCTGGGAATATATACCTTAGTGATAGAGCACTTGCCTAGCATGGGGGAGTCCCTGGGTTTAATCCCCAGCACTGCAAAACAAATAAATTAAAAATAAATATAATTATATATAAAATAAATATAATTATATATAAAATATTTAAGTGTATACCTCAGCCTAGCATTTAGTACCAATTTATTTAATTTCTGTTAGGAAGAGATGTTTTTCAGAAACTCAGGTATCCTGAGAAGGGATATATTTATATATAGTTTCATTTCTAGTTTTTCTTTAAGGTAAAATTGGCAAGCTAGACTTGTTGGACTTGGTGGATTTGGAAGTATTAGGGAATGGATTTGAGAGCATTCTTAGAGTCAGAATACTTAGTCAGCTGATTGTCCTTTGGCAAATCATTTAACTTTGTTGCTCCTCAGACACATCATGTTTTACATAGGGACAATGACACTGGGTAGCTTGTCTGATAGTTGATGTGGGGGTCAAGTGAAATCACAAATAGAACAAATACTTGTAATATTTCACTATGTTGAATTGTTTCAAGATAAATTTAAGTCCTTCAAAATTTAAAAAGAATTTGAGAGGGCTGAGGATGTAACTCAGTGGTAGAGTGCTTTCCTGCATGCTTAAGGCCCTGGGTTCAAGCCCAACTGTGCAGTCAACCAGTCAATCAATACATGATTCGACACAGCTAAGTGCAAAGGTATGAGATAGTTTTAATATTATCAGTATTTCTGAGCTGTGGACTGTAGTCACTTTCCTATTCTGTTACTTAGCTGTGTTCTTATGTAGCTTTAGGCAGACAACTCTGAATGTCATGCTTCATATTGGTCTTCCATGAGGGGATAAAGGCACAGTAACCTGGCAATTTTACCTACTGTTCCATGCATCTCTCTTGCTCTTTCTTACCTCCCAAAAACATTTGATTCATGCCATGAGCATTCAGTGTACTCCTATACTCAGTAGTTGGGGTGGCAAACCAGGTAATCTCTGTGCAAACCCAGGACAAATTTCTGCTTTACAGTCAGAAGTGAACAGGTATTCACCTCCCTCTCATCTGAAAATGGTCCTTTTCTCAATAGCCATCTCAAGCTGTTCCTGAGATCCACTTGGCATAAATAACAATGTCTTGGGAAGTTTTTTGAAGGAATCAAAATGGACCATAGAAATAAGATTCATTTTTTTCCTACCATACTGCTGGTATAGACTGCTTGGAGTAGTTTGTAATTGCTGGACTGACTTTGTGGTAGGGTTACACTAAAAAAACACATGTAACATTAACCTCTGGGTACAAAGATATTCACTGAAGCATTGTTTGTTTGTAAGAGCAAAAAGAAAATGGTAATCACCATGTGCTGATAAGTACATAGTGGCAAGATATGTTATTAAGTAAAAAATGCATGTTACAAAACATTGTGTATAATATGATGCATTTTGGTGACTGAATAAATACATATGCCCATATTTTTTCCTGGTAGGACAGAAAAGCATAAACAGTGGTTTACCTTTGGGTAAAGGACTGGGATAACAAAGTTCTTATTTTTCATTTTATACTTTTCCTCAGTGTTTGTATTTTCCACTATATAAATGTATTTTTAAAAATTGTCAACAGAGTTTATTTGAGTTATGAAGATTACAGATAATTTTACTTTCTTTTTTGTATTAATGTTATGCTTTTAAAGCCCTCACCTTTTTAAAAGAACACTCAAAAAACCATCCAAATATTCATGAAAACTTATTCATAATAAAAACACGTCAGATAAAGCAATGCTGTGCATATTTTATTGACATTAAGTGTATTTGTTTTTTAAAAAAAATCTCCTTTTTATCACCTGTACCTCCTATATTCTCAGACTGCTGTCTCTATACATATATAACCCATCTCTCATTTGGTTAAATTCATCTGGGGAATAAAGGGCAAAAAGACATTCCTATTTATTAACTGAAAAGTAGGTAAATAATTAATAGCCCTGGGAGTCTCTGCATAGACTGTAGACAACAGGCCCTTTGGGCAGTCATCCTCATTCTTATTTTCAAATGTACTAGTTATCCCTCTGGAATTATGATAATCATAAATAATAATGGAAAAATGCAATTATGAATATTAAGTTCTAATTATTATGAAGAAAATATGTATACACAGGCCATATAGAGACGACAGACCAATGATTAGACACTTTTTGAAAAAATTTAAAGACTGTAGTAGATAGTTACATATAAAAAATTATTGAAAGGATATCTGGATTTCTTCAGTTCAGCCTTTTTATCTTGTTAGGGGTGTAACTCAATGGTAGAGTGCATGCATAGCATTCTAAAAGTTCTGGAGTTCAATCCCCAGCACCTACATAAATTAATCATTTTAAATTGTGCTCTTTAGTAAGTAATAGTAAATATATAGGCAAGTATGAACTATAATAGCCTAAATTTGAAAAAAAAAATTGTTGAATGAAAGGCCACGAATGCCAATATTAACAACATAAAAGTAAAACAATACTGTGCTTCCTGAGGCAAGTAGAACAGTGTTGGGCTAAATCAGACGTGGAATTTTAGCGACTTTTAATACTAGTGGAGTTTGCCTCTTTACACATAAAAGCCAGCTTTCTCCTTACATTTCTGAAAGATGAGGATGTCCATTTTTTGTTATCCCTTTGACCTCTTATCTCAGAATGTCTTTTTCTCATATCCCCAACTTATCAACAAATGCTATGGCATAGAAATAGTTGTGTTCATAAGGTTTAGCCAGAGTTTCTACACTGTGCTTGTCACTTTGTGTTTTAGTGGCCATTTGTACCATTCTTATCCTTTCCTGTGATGATAGATATCCACAGTGGAGCTTCTTAGTATAAAATAATACTAAGAGCTAACACTCTGGGGCAGGCATTATTCTACGTGTTTTATACATATTGTACTATTTTAATTTTCCATCAATCTTGAGGGTTCTACAATATCTTAACCTCTACAGATGATAAGTTGAAGCACAGAAAATTTGAGGTCGTATAACTGGTTGTGTGGCAGAATTGGGTGCACAGGCTTCAAAACAGGTGCTCAACCCCTCCAATACATTACTTTTCAGAGATGGCTGGTGGTAGACTCTGAAAGGAAGCTGTTATTTAGTTCTGTAGGTGTTAAAAGAAGAAATGGAACAAATTTTGTAAGTTAAATTTTGAACTTAGCCCTTTTGTGTGCATGAAGCCTTATCCCCTTACCTTTGAAGCCTGAATCATTTCATCAGCCTAATTAGTAGTAGATAAGTTAACCCCTAAGGGATACTAAAAGGTTTTCTTTCCTTCAGAAGCTATCACATGGGGGTGCCTTATCAAAGATATAGTTTATTTCTCCAAGAAGTCCTTGTTGAAATGCAGACATTCTGCCTAACAGGGGTAGTAGAGCAAGTTAGGTATAACCTGGAGATTTGTTGATTTAGGACACTACATCCAGATGTGGCAAATGACAGCAAGAAGGAATAAGTGAATTTTCTTTCCTTGTGAGTTAGGAAAGCACCCAAAACTGGAGTTCCTGAGAGACACATTACATCCCGAGGCCCTAGCCAGGTTTATTTTTTGCAACCACTTTCATCTATCTAATGAGGATTTCTAAACTATAATAGTCGAGGATCCTGGAATAAGAGCCAGACTTGATTTATTCAGGGATTTCATACTTGGTTATTTTACTCTGCCAGGTCCATTGTCAGGGGAAGCCACCAATACCTAACTGAGATGAGGCTAGATAGTATGAGCTTGATATATAGGGACATGACAGTAAAGGTCAGCTTAGGGAGGCTGTAGGAGTCTACTGCTTGCTGGGGGGAGGGCGTGAAAACTAGGCTACAAGGTATTATTTTAATTATAACATACTTCTATTTCAATATGCAGCTCTAAAAGATAATAACTCTTTAAAAACATTGTTGCAATACCCTTGTAACCCCTAAAAAATTAATAATCCCTTAATTATCAAATATGCAGTTACTGCTCAAATTTCTCCAACTGTCTCACAATTTTTTTTTAACAGTTGGCTTGTATGAAGTAGGAGCCAAACAAGGCCCACACATTTCATTTAGTTGAAGTGTTTAAGTCTCTTTCTTTTTTAAGTTAAAGTAACATACATAGAGAGGAGTATATAAATTTGTAAGTGTACAACTCAGTTTCCTGTGAAATCAGCACTCAGGTCATGAAATAGAATGCTGCCAGGATCCAGTGGCATCTTATTGTAGTTTGCGATGACTAATGATGTTGAGCATGTGTGTGTGTGTGTGTGTGTGTGTGTGTGTGTGTGTGTGTAGACACACATATACTTAATTTTTTCCATTTGTATGCTCTCTTTTATGAAGTTCTTTTTCAAGTCTTTAGTCTCTCATCATTTTTTTTTTTTTGGTACCAGTGATTGAACTCAGGGGTGCTTATCTACTGACCCACATCCCCAACCCTTTTTTTGTATTTTATTTAGAGACAAGGTCTCACTGAGTGGCTTAGCGCCTCACCATTGCTGAGGCTGGCTTTAAACTGGCCATTCTCCTGCCTCAGCCTCCTGAGCCACTGGGATCACAGGTGTGTGCCACCACACCCAGCTCCACTCATCCACTTTTAAGATTTCATTGATTTGTGGAATTCAGTGGGGATATGAGTCCTTGGTTAGATGTGTATACTGCAAATTTATTCTCCCACTGTGTGGTTTGCTTTCATTCTTAATGGTATCTTGATGAGCAGAAGTTCTCTAATGAAATCCAATTTATCAATTGTTCCCTTTATGGTTTGTGCTTTTTGTATCTTACTTTAGAAGTCATTCCTTGTCCTCAAGGGCATGAAGGTATTCTCCTATGTTATCCTCTAGAAGTTTCAGTGTTTTGCCTTTTACTTTATGTCTGCAGTCCTGAGTTTTGTGACCAATGTAAGGTAGGGGTCACTCTGCATTGTTTATCCATAATGGATATCCAGTTGATACACCTCACAGTAAAAAACAAAACAAAACAAAAACACTCATTCTGTCTCTGTTCTGTAGTGAGGTCATTAGAGGACTGTACAGTATACTTTTATTTCTAACCTCTCTGCTTTATTCCATGGGTCTATTCAAGAATCTATATGCATAAGTAAGGAAAAATGTGTGCTAATTCCATGCTGACCTCATTACTGTAATTTTGTAACTTTTACTATCTGGTAGTATAAGTAACTTTTTCTTTAAGATTGTCTTGGCCCTTTCTTTGTGTTTCTTTCAAATGTAGAATCATCTTATTGATTTCCACAAAAAAAAATTGCTGTGAATTTTATTGGAATCGCAATAAATTTGTAGCTCAATTTGGGAAGAACAAACATCTTTGTTTTTTATCTAGGAGTTTTTGTATCTGGGAGTAAGGTATATTTCTCTACTTTGATAGGTCTCCCATAATGTCATATTTAATTTTTCTCAGTGATGTTTCATGGTTTTCTGTGTAGAAATCTCACACAATTTTCTAGATTTATTCCTAGGTATTGGGATTTTTTTATACTAATGTAAATGTTATCATGTTTGAAATTTTATTTTCCTCTTCCTGTTCTAATGCTAAGGCAATTGACAAGTAATTTCATCATCAAAGGCAAACTAAAAGCTCATAGCAGGGCTATTCTTTAGTTTTGAATTTAGTATGTTTTGACAAATTATATTTGCTTTTCACCTCCAAATAACAATACAGCTGATATCTCATTCTTTGTAAGTATTAGACTTAAACTCTCTCTTTGGCAGAATTGGGAAGAGGGGGCTCCAGAAATCCATTTAGAAGGAATGAAGGAGTCTCCTGGGCAGAGCTCATCCTCTGGGAGCTAGAGCCAAGCTGGACCCACTTGACCTTGTAACAAAGCCCTAAAGGAGAGAGCTCTAGAGACCGTGTGGTGTCTGTCACTCATTTGTCTTCCAGTCTGGGTATCTATGGACTCATGTCTCATTGCAGTCCTTGGAGGCTGATCTTATAAGAAGTGTGGGGAGGGGGCTTTGAGTAGAAATGTAAAGAACTACTTGAGCAGTAATTTCAGAAAACACTGGATATAAGCTTTACTGCTTTGTTACCCTTTGATATCGTATCACAGAAGGAGGGAAGACATTGTCCTTTACTTTGTACAGAACTCTTATAGTTTTGACACCTTATTGCAGGACTTACCAAAGCCACCGCCAGGGCCAGCAGCAATAGTGATTATGGGAATCTATTTATTGAGTGATTGCTAGGTACCAGTCATTATTCTAACTGCTCTATAAATATTAACTCATTTAATCATCATAACTACCCCCATGATGAGGTTAGATAATGTTATATAGAAAAAATAAAAGCAGAAATTGAGGCACAGAGAGGCTAAATAGCTTGCCCAAGGTTACAGAGCCCATATGTGGAAAAGCTGGGATTCGAACCTAAACTGGCAGGTTACAGAGTCTGTGCTTTTTACATTATATAGCCTTTTAGGTGATCACAGCAAGTGAGGGCCACAGGAGAAAGAACGGGATAAAGTGGGGGGTCCTTGCAGAATGCCTTGCTAGGTAGCCAGTTGTATTTGATCTTCAGCACCTTTGAGATATCCTTTGAGGACAGAAATATCTTGAGATAGGGATGGGGCTACTTTAGAAGGGGCTGGGGGCTACATTAGCAGTTAAGATCCAGAGAAGTGAAACACAGGTGAGATAATCATAACTTGATCTTAGAGCAGATTTATGGACTTAAGAAATGTAACATCCATTGATTTTTCAATTTTATCACCTTAAAATTTCCTTAGAGTAAGTGGAGTCATGACTTCTTGTCTGTTCTTTCTCTGAGGCGACAGGCACATCTATATTTAGACGGATAGTCATGCTTCTGTGGCGATGGACCAGTGTGTGTCTCCAAAAATGGCCGTGCGTTGAAACAACGAGTATCTCCCTGGACAGAAAAATTATCAACATTGTAGATTGGATGTACACACAGCAGAAGGATTTCTACACAAATTTACTTATGAAGCAGATAAACTAGCATTTGTGCTAGGAACATAGATGACCACTTAGGCCACTGTCCATGAGTTTATGGAAGCAAACAAGCTCAGATTTGGCTGCATCACAAATAGAATGAATCTAGGGCTTCAGAGGCCTGATGCACCAGAACCATTTGTTCTGATGAAGAACATCAAAATTTTCCCCACTGACATGAACCAGAAACTTGGATTTTTTTTAACCCCATCTTTTCTTTCCCTCCCACATCTCATTTGTCACCAAGCTCTATTGATTCTATCCTTTAAATAGCTTTTAAATCTGGCTCCTCTTTTCTACCTCTGTTGCTACTAATAGTTCGTATCCTTTACATTTTTTTTTCACCTGCATTAGACAACAGCCTCCTAAATTCTTTGTTCTTTTCTATAATTAGTTACTTTCACTGCCACCAAGATTATCTTCATAAGGCATATATCCATTATGTCACTTCCCTACTTAAAACTGTTTTGATGGCTCTCATTGTTGACAGGATAAAAACAAATGTCCAGGGGTTTAAGAGCTATCCATGCCTCACTTTCATCACCCCCATCTTTTCCACTTCCTCTAACCAGTTATTCTAGACCTCTGGGGCTCTGGGAACCCAGGGACCACTTTCAGACTTGGTGCCTCTGTTGTGATTTTCCTCAGTGCCTTGTCTGCCATCCCTGCCTCACTCTTGTCCTTTTGGCCAACTCTGCCTTTCCTTGGAGATTGTCCTCACACTCTCTTGGGGAGAAGTCTCGATACCCTTCCACAAGCATTCTCACCCTTGTACCCTGAGAAGGTCTGGCTTCCCTCGTAGACTGTGGGGCTCTTGAGGAATATCTTACTCCTCGTCATATTCTCAGTTTGCTGTGGGCACTTTGTGGATATTTGCTGAATGGTTTCTCCATCCATCCAACCCTCCAACCATTATTTCAACCAATATTTTTGAGTACTTCCTGTATTCAAGGCACTGTTCTAGTAGGTGCTGCAAATATGCGGTGGACAAGAAACATTCTTAATTCCATGGAGCTTATATTCTTAGAAATTCATCCAAGTTTATATTCTAATCTTATATTTTGTCTTCTAGGGAACACAGGCAATAAAGAAAGAAATAGGAACTATTTCAGGTGGTGTGGGGTAATAGGCAGAGGATTAAAGTAGGGTCATAGGACATAGTGTGTGGATAGGCACTTTATTTTAGAAAGTCAGGGAGAACCTCTCTAAGGGGGATTTTTGAGCCTGAGTTCTGAATGAATTATTCTTGTGAAGATCAGGATGATCTGCATTTCAGGCAGAAGAAACAGATAATGCAAAGGCCTTATGATAAGGACAAGCTGACTTTTGGAATAAGCACTCTAGTTAACTAAAGTTAGGACAGGAATAGAGCACAGTGAAGAAAATGCCTGTAAGGGAGATGGAACCAAACAGATAGATAGTAGCTGGTTTGGGGGCCAAAGGTAATTTACTGTTTAAAACATACTAGATATTTATTGGCAGCTGTCAGTAGCAAAATAAAAAGGCCCTGTTGTTCATAACTGATACACAAAAACACTTAGGAATGTAGGTGCCAAATACCTTTTTCAGTGTCACTTGGAGCCAAGCTCTCTGTGTCAAGATGGCCTGTGTGAAGAAATCACCTGCTTTTAATTTGCTTGGGTTTCCATTGTTCTTTGGGCCTTCACTTTGTTTAAGCCACAGGGTTGATAAAGCCACAAGAATGTGAACACTTTCATTTGTTCTGAAATGTGCTCACTTTAACCTTTTAATTTACCCATCCTTCAGTATTTGCCTGCTTAATATTTTTATTTCCTTTCTTTGCTTCCTGAAGCACATGTGCCAATCAGAAATCCTGTGTACTCTTGTGCAGGGCAAGCCATGTGCTTGTGTACACACAGGCCATAGTGGGGTATCATATCAGAAAAGCTGTTCCTAGTATAGTTGGCTCAAGTGGGAGGCCACTATGTGGCAACTGCAAAGCTCATCACAGGTAGGCTGAACATTGAACTTGCCAAGCAGGAGTTGTGGCTTGGGACAACCTGTTGATCAACTTTGTTCTGACCCACAATGTTCCCTTGAAACCCTGGGGTTGAGTTCAGAAGACCCAAAAGAGTTCTGTTTCATAGAGAGGTTCTCCTTGCTACAGAGGTAATGTATGGGAGATACACAATTTTTATTTCCTCCAGTGGAAGTGTGGGTGTCATATGGGAAAGCTGGTCTGATAAAAATGTTCATATTATTGTGGTTATATTAATCAAGTAGCTTGGCCATACCAAGACCATATCTACACAGCATAATAGAACCCACCATGGCTCAACTGTCTGTTTTTTTTTTTTTAAATTTTATTTTCCATTGTATTATATTCTTGGTTATTTTTGTGGGAATTGACCATCTAGAAAAGTTATTTAGTCATATGTTATAGTAATTTAGGATTAAAGGGAATTTTGAATCTCTAAACTTTTATACAAGGTAAATGAGGCCCAGAATGATTGAGTATCTTGCTCAAGGGAAGAGATTGGGTTGCTGTCACAGCTGGCTCTACTAGTCTGGGGTTCCTGACTTCCAGGATGGTTTGTCTATCCCTAGTCATGTTGCCTCCAATTAATACAGGGAGGTAGAAAAGTGGACCAGATGAAAAAATATTTAAAGCTCATAGTCCATGTTTAAAAATTCAGAGATTAAGGGCTCGGGTTGTGTGGCTCAGCGGTGGAGCACTAGCCTTGCTTGCATGTGCAAGGCGCTGGGTTCAATCCTCAGCACTGCGTAAAAATAAATTAATAAAATAAATATTTTGTGTCCAACTACAACTGAAAGAGAAATATTTTTTAAAAATCTAGAGATTACACAAAAGAATCTGAATTTCTAGTTTTTTCTTTTCAAAGATTTGGGTCCAGACTTTCGCAAGACAAACTGTTGATATTGACAGTAGCTTCTGATTTTAGGCAGAATGTGCACACTCCAGTTTATCATAGTCTCCACTACTTACTCCGTATTGCTTCCTAGATATGGAGGTTGACTGCCAGTTACCACTACTTAATGGTCAAACGTGCACTGTAGAGTTTCTGATAGAATTAAGAAAAAAGTGAAGTATTTCTCATACCCATGTAGGCAGTATTTCAAGAAGAAATGAATGTTTTAAAAAGTAAAGTATTTCAGGGCCAAAGAATACAGCTCAAGACAATATTATGAAACAAATCTATTTAGCACCTGTAGGCATTAAAAGTTGCAGCTTTTGTCAAAATCTTAACAACATAATCAGAAGAAATTTGGGTACATCTTTTTACTGTGAGATTGTGGTACACCTTTGACAAAATTTGAAAGTACATTTTTCATAGTGTGGAGAGGAAACAGTGGAAGAAACAGAAGAAATAGGACTCTTGTCTGTTTTTCCCCTTATCCTAGAACTATTAAGACATGTGATCAGTTTGCTTAGACACTGAATCAAGTTACCCAAAAAGTTGTGTAGTAAGAATCTTTTCATGTTAACTACTTTCAATGGGGTCATCTTGAAATGTTCTGATAATCATGGCAGCACAGCTACTGGCAAAGTCAGAACTGAGAGCTAGCTCTGTGCCGTTTGCTGAAGTAACAGTGAAATAGCTTGAAGGAAATGCACCATATTACTCTAGAAATAAAGTACAAATAACGTCCCACAAACAGCTCCTTGAATAAAAGGTGTCATTCTTTCCCCACCCCACTATTGTGAAAAATATACCATTTATAGACCCATTTCTATTCATGAGTTTTGGGTTTTTTTTTTGTCTCCAATTCTGCCTATACTTAACCCCCACCAACTAATATTTCTGTTGCAAAGCCAGAAGTCTCTGTAAGGTTAAAAATAATTTTGCTATATTGTGTTGAACATAATTGAAATGTCATGAGCCATCTAGAGAGCAGAAGAACCAGTTCTCTCTTGTTGCCATTGGTGTAGTCTGTTTGCTTTTCTCTGCCCTCACTGAAGCTTGAGCTGAGAAACCTGGTGAGGAATGTTTCCTCTGGCGTTTCGACAGGCACAGCTATTTGTCACTGCCTCAGAAGCCAATGCTTGGCTGCAGGTGACGAAGGCTGCCCTTATGGGAGGGATAATTATGGTCAAGGACCTGTCTGAACTTTCAGCTGGCCTTGCTCTGTGCCCAGACTGATATCTGATGCAGGAAGTCTTCTCTTAAATTCATATTCATGTTCATATTCATGATTTTCTTACTCTCTAGAAGGGACATTATCTCAGGTCCTGGTGAAGAGACTGGATATTCTGAAGCAGGCCTTTGGCTTGGCTTAATGCAGGGTTGGGAGGTGGTGTCTCTTGTGGAAGAAGGATTAAGTAGAGGGAGGAGTCATTGTCATTAGGATACCCATACACAAAACTGAACATGACTGCTCATCTCTGACTCACTATCTGAAGCATGATTAACCTGGAAGGGGAGGGGCAAGCAGATATTTGATTCAGTGGAGTGGGTACCAGAATTCCTTCCCTTTCCACCCCCACACCCTATTGATTACTCCTTTTCCAGAGGACCTGGAGGCCTAGAAATCCTGACTGGTAAAGTCGGTCTTGGCCTGGTGAAACCCTTGTCATTTGGTCCCACAGAGTAGAACTTGTGATTGAGAACAAGAGGTCTGGATGCTCTTTGACTTAGCAGGAACCTGGTAAACAGTGACTAAACAATGACTTCAGTGCCCAGAGGGGAGGCCCGTCATTAACTTGGCCTCTTTGAGAAACTCAAAGATGGATTAGGGTGCTATTGGATTGGCTTAGTGTAACCTTCATCAAGAAGAGCATGTCCAAGGAATTGGTCAGGGATAGAATATGGATAGCATTATGAGAGATTATTTTTTTTGTTCTATACTTTGTATATCATAAATAATCAGATAATTGCCATATCTGTATTGGCCACATCGAAGCAACAGTTATTATTCCAGTCATGGTAAATGAATGTAGATCCCAATATAAACATTGTTTTACCCCCTTTTTATTTTTATATGAGGCATTTGGCTTGTACATTATGTTTGAAACATCAAACATCATGTGTAGTCATTTGAATATGAATACCACTTATGTTTTAATAATAATTGGCATTTTTAATATGTGTATGGCAGCACCACAGGTGTGTCATTTTAAATTATGGTATAGCATTTAAAGCGTGTAGTGACTAAAATAATTACTGTTGCTTTATGTGGCCTATATAGGATATACCAGTTTAGCAGATGTGGTCATTTAGCACACATAAAAAGGTTACCTTAATTTGCCTGTCAAAAACCATGGAGATCACAAGTCTCAAGTAGAATTAAAATTTCCTTAACATTGTCCATAAAGTCTTTTATCTCTTCCTGTCTCCTTACACCACATCCTTCCCTTTTCTGCAAGGGTGGTGTTTCTACACAGTAAAGTTCCATCCATGAAAAGCCCCAACACGTAGTGGGTCTGAATCCTATCTAATCCTTTTCCCAGCCCTGTGGCCCAGAAGTGGGATGTCGTCCAGGGAACAGCCTAGATAAGTGCCAGCTGTGACATGGTGCAAGAATTCTCTTTTCTTTTTGATATTCTTCTGTTATGCCATCCCAAGGAAGAGGTTTGCTCATTCTTGAGCCCCTCCTTGCAAGAGGCTGTGTTGTAACCACCTCCCATCCCCCTCTCTCCTGGGATGGAGGTTGGTGATCCTAGAAGATACAGGATGAGGCTTTTCCAGGAGTCTCCTGGCGTCCTCCACAGTGTGTTGACTCCAGAGGAGTTTTGGGTGCAGGGAGTCAACCAGAGTGAGCAGCAAGGGAAGAAAGCAATGTAACTCACCCTGGGCGACAGCCTGTGAAGGGAACATCTCTTCCCTGTGCTCTAGTGTAGAGATTGGATGCTTCTAGGTCAGCAGCTTGTCAGGCCTGGTAAAGAAAGTATGTGAGGAGTCAATAGGAAGTGAGCAAGAGGCGTGGCGTTTCAGGTTAAATAGGAAGAGCTTCTACACATAGAACTGGATTTTTAAAACAAAGATGGCTGTAGCTGAACCTCCTATTGTTTGTGTCCCACTCATCTGATCTCCCAGCTTGGTATAAGAGAAATGGCTCTGGCTTCCATAAGTTGCCTTGCAGCTAGCTGTAGGAGGACTGACCATGCATAGCCATTTTTATATTTCCCATGTAAAATTTAACAGTGTTTTAACAGAGCTTTTCTTAAGATCAAAGAGTACCTGACTGAATAAGATTCCATGTGTGGTCTGAGAATTTAATATTTGTTTCCTGTGGCTCCTTTTATACTCTCCCCACAGTTCCAAGTAAGTGAAATATTGGGCCAAAGGGCCAAAGAATCCTGTTTAGGGAGGAATCTTGCCTTCCTCTCAAGCCACGCACTTTTCCCTTCTTGTAACTTTCCAGTCATCATTTGGGTAATACTGTTGGTAATTCTGACACCTGGTGGTCGTTTAAAAAACTGCTCTCTGGAAGAGCTGAATGTTTACTTTTATTGTTTTTAGTTGTTTTAGTTTTCTGCTTCCAAATTCAATGTAAGACACATTTTATAAATTAGAGAGTATTATTATTAATTAAATTACTTATAAGTAAATAAATACATTCCATGGTATACATTTGGATAGAAAGAAATTTTAAATATTTTTAGTTGTAGATGGACACAATACCTTTATTTAATTTATTTATTTTTATGTGGTGCTGAGGATTGAACCCAGTGCGAAGCAAGTGACCCACCACTGAGCTACAACCCCAGCCCGTGGATAGAAAATTTTTAGATAGATTAGAAACTATATATGGTGGTCCCTGGAGAGTGCAGCTAGGTGAGGAGGCAAGGAAAACTTATTTTTCTTTGTACTTTGTAGTTCTCTCTGAAATATGTCTTAAGCAAAAATAATGTATTGTTCTAATAATTATAGTTAAGTACCACACTTGAGCAGGAGGCCTAGAAGTCTAGTATGTTCCCCTCCAAGCTCCTAGACTCTCCTTCCTTTATATCCAAGGACCTGTAGTATACTTGTGTATTTCAAGGGAGTGGAATGGCTGGAGTCACTCTGCTCATTCACTGATGGTGCAGAGGGGGCCCAGAGCTGAGTTGGAATGATATTTGGGGAGTAGTGTGGCCAGAGTGCCAACGCCCAGTCAAGCTCCTTGGGTGGTCAGTAGCAAAGGCATCCATGCTCCTCTCTGTGTTGACTTCTCAGGATTGGGCTGCCTGCTCTGCAAAGGGCTCCCATCCCTCCAAGTCCTTGATGCCTCCCAGGTATAAGGCCATCAGGAGCTAGTCTCACCAGGCCTGGCAAGGTAGTTGCTTCTGGCTCTTGACACCAAGGAGCAGGGTTAAAGGCGGATGTGGCCTGTAGTTGGCTGGCAGGAAACCATGTCTGATGAAAGCAACCATCCTTTGATTCCCTGTGTGCTCTGTTTGATTCCAACAGTATTGGACAAACTTTCCACTACCATTTCTTACCAATGATAATACTTTTATTTTGTTGAAAAATTACCACTTTTTTTTCCCCCAGTACTGGGGATTGAATCCAAGGTAGTTCTACCCCTGGGCTACATCCCTGTCCCTGAGACATTACCACTTTGTAAGTGTGTGCTCAGGGACAGCATGCCTTCTTCTTGTCCCCCCACCCCTAAATTCCCTGGCTCACTCCAGGTATCCCATAAACACTGGAGAGTGAGAGGCTGAGTATACTCAGAGGAAACTGAAGGTATTCTCAGGCAGAGCATTAGTAGGGTCTCCCAGGACTTTTCTGGGGCCACAGTGAGGAGAGGCCCTGCCTGTGCTTGTAATGCAGTCCCTGAAGGCTGGGGCCAGAACACAGGAGGGGGTGCTCTTTTGTAGCAGCTTTTCAGGAAAGGAAAATCTCAGCACCAGGCTCAATAATGGGGTCCTCATATCCACATTTCAGCTGCAGGAATCAGCTCTTTTCATGTTATGGGAAAGGGTCCTGGTTTCCATCATCTCTGACTCCAAACGGCCATGTTCTTGTTGAGGTGACCTACCTCTCCATCTTTCACAGCCTGGCTTTTATCTTCCAGGATGATCAGGGCAGCTCCTTGCCTCCCTCCTACTATTCAGATCCAAGAGCTTTAGCAGATATCATGAGACCTTGAGGATGGAAGTCACATGCTAGAGGAGACAAGAAGGTTGAGATCCTGATGACTTCATAGACCTGCTAAAACAGTTCCTGACTGTTCACTCCTGGCCTTTATACAGTGAAGAGAATGAGTCCTTGCATGTAAACAACTGGGTTTTCTATTCCATGCAACTGAATTTGATTAAAACAGATAATGTGACCCTTAGTGACATCCAAGTGTTCTTCTGTTCTCATTAATACTATGAAAAAAGGAGCAAATATTTCTTAATAAAGAATAGAAATAACATGATTTGAATCTCTGGTGAGGCATTTCTTCTGATAGAATTCTACACAGTATACAGTAGGTCTGTTTGTACTATCTTTCTTAGGATTTTCGAATTTGAAGTCTTTTCCAGGGTGGGAGTAGGGTGAAGTTGGATTTTCATATAACTTCTGTTTATGAAAATAGTGTAATAAGAGGAAATAAGGACTCAGAGGGGAGAGTTGGATTCTCTGATTTCTTTTATAAAATGCATATTTGGAGCTTGTGCAGAGCACTGGTCCTGAGTTCAGAAAAAGCAGCTGGAGTAGGGGACCCTAGGTTCAGTTCCTCTGAGCATCCTGAATGGCAAGGCAGAGGGTACCTGGAGAGTTAGTCATGTGACCACACTTATTGTAGTCTTCTTTTCTTTCTTTCTTCTTCTTTTTTTTTTTTTTTTTGGTGGTATTGGGGATTGAACTCAGAGGCCCACTAATACTGAGCTACATCCTGAGCCCTTTTTGGGCTTAAATTTTTAAGAAGCATCTTGATAGTTTTGGCAAAGTGGTTATACCATTTTAAATTTCTATCAACTATGTAGGATGGTTCCAGTTTCTCAACATCCTTGTCAATGCTTAGGATAATCATTTTTAATTTTAACCACTATAATAGGTTTGTAGTGAGATTTAATTGGGACTTTAATTTTTATTTTCATAATGCATTTTGTGCATATTTTCCATATAAATATCATCTTCAGTCAAGTATCCATACTGTATGGTGAAAAGAATTTTGTTAAAATCCTTTGCCTACTTTTACCATTGAATTCTTCTTGATAGTTTTTTTTTTTTAAAGAGAGAGTGAGAGAGGAGAGAGAGAGAGAGAATTTTTTTAATATTTATTTTTAGTTCTCGGCGGACACAACATCTTTGTTGGTATGTGGTGCTGAGGATCGAACCCGGGCCGCACGCATGCCAGGCGAGTGCGCTACCGCTTGAGCCACATCCTCAGCCCTTCTTGATAGTTTTTGAATTATATTTTGGTACTGGGGATTGAACTCAGGGACACTGGACCACTGAGCCATATCCCTGCTCTTTTTATATTTTATTTTCAGGCAGCATCTGACTAAGCTGACTAAGTTGCGTAGGGCCTTGGTAAGTTGCTGAGGTTGACTTTGAACTTGCAGTCCTCCTGCCTCAACCTCCTAAGCCTGGGATTACAGGCTTGCACCACTGTACCAGGCTTGATAAGAATAAAAAATATATTTCATGTGTTAATTTCTTGAACATATATAATACAGTTATAATAACTATTTTTATGTCTTTGGCTATTGATTCTAACATCTGGGCCAGGTCTGGGACAGTTTTTCTTGATTGATCATTCTCATAAAGGGTCAGCTTCTTCTATTTCTTTGTATGCCTGGCAATCTTTGATTGGATATTACATTGTTAATTTCACCATGTTGAGTGCCAGATATTTTTATATTCCTATTAATACTTTTGAGATTTGTACTGGGATGAACTTAAGTTTATTGGAAACAGTCTTTTGTTATATACTCATCCTTGGTTCATAAGCTTTGTATGAAGCCACTCTCAGCTTCTTCATATTGGGCCAGTCTAGTGCATCTTTAAAACAGTGGCTTTTCTTTATCATTCAGAACCCCTCAGTTTGAGCAAGAATGCTCTTAGGTTGTAACAGGAGGATCTTTCTCTTTTTTTCCTTGAGCCTTTTTGGAATCTTATAGCTACTGATCAACAGCAGAAAAGAAGCTCCTTCATAGATGATTTATTTAAAAATTATTTTTCTTTGTATGTAGGCATTACCCTTCTTCCATCCCAGGTAGACTACCATATTTCATTTTATTTCTCTTTTTCCTCTTCTTTCTTTTCAAACTTTTAATGAAAATATGGGTGGGGATGGTGGTAAGGATTGAATCCAGGAGCACTTTACCACTGAGTCACACCCCCAGTCCTTTTTATTTCTTATTTCTAGGCAGAGTTTTGCTCAGGCTAGTCTTGAACTTGAAGTCCTCCTGCTTCAGCCTCCTGAGTTGCTGATTATAAGTATGACACCATGACTAGCTATTATGGAAAGTTTTAAGTGTGCAAAAAATAGACTGGTAAAATGAACTCCCACATACCTGTCAACAATCATCAACTTGTGAAGCTGAATTTTTATGATGCTTCTGTTTTGCAAACATTAGAGACTTGTTTTCAGGTTACATCAAGAATCATGCTGTAGGAAATGCACAGTCCTTTTTGGTTTGTGGGCACTTTATTGTCTAGGTCAGACTCCATACAATCCAAAAACCAAGTTTTGCCAGTGTTTTTCAGGGGTTACCACAAGCATCTCAAATATTCTGTTACTTTATGTTTTTTATATAGTCCTTAAGTTTCACTCTGAAGAGCCAGTTTTCACGATGTGCTTTGTTAATAGTTCCTGTTTGATTTGGGCCATGTCTCATCATTCCTCTGAGTTTATATTCCTTGAATGCAGCTCCCAAATTTTCCATGTATGTGTGTGTGTGTGTGTGTGTGTGTGTGTGTATTATATGTAACATATATATTATACATTTAATATATATATCTGTATGTACACATATGAATATACATACTGACCTAGAGTACTCTATATATCAACTATGCTTAAAAGCAAACTAGTGGGCTAGGGTTGTGGCTCAGTGGTAGAGTGCTCGCCTAGCATGTGAGAGGCCCTGGGTTCGATCCTCAGCACCACATAAAAATAAATAAATAAAATAAAGGTATTGTGTCCAACTATAACTAAAAAATAAATATATATTTTTTAAAAAAGCAAACTAGCATAATGTAGTGAGAAGCAATTGATAGAATGATGGAACTACTACTTACTAGTTGGTATAGCTTTTAAAGGTTGCTAAAACTCCCTGAGATTCAGTATCATTATCTGTAAATTGAATAACACCCACCTTCAGGATGATTGTTAGGATTAGAAATAATGTAACTGAAGTGCTTATTCTGGAGCTTGATGCACAGTAGTAACTCAATAAATGATAGCTATTATGATTATGACAGATGTAGCCCTGCTGTGGAATGGAAAGCAAAGAGTATTATCCCCAGTTTGACTGACTAAACCGGCACCAGAGAGACTCCAGTACTGACTGAAGTAATTTCAAGAGCCAGTGACAGATTCAGAACCAAATTCACAAATGCCACTTCCTGGACTCGGAGGCTCCTGTAAACATACCAAAATCTAATTTTTGCTTATATCTTTATAAGGGAATTCTGTTTTATGACAGAAACAAGACATTTGTATCAGCTCATTTCAGGGGGATTTACTAAAATTTATGGTTTTGGGCATCTAGTTTCAGGCTTTGTGTCTGAAAATGTCCTCACACCTACAGTAATAGCAATGAGCCTGTCAGACCAGCACATCTCTGTTGGGTGTTGTGTTGGGTTTATTTGTAGATAGATAGGTTTTCAGAATCACAGACAATTAGTAGATAGTTTACAAAGACAGACTGAGGGCATCCTTTAAGGGTTCACACACAAAGGAATGATTTCTCTCTCTCTCTCTCTGTCATACACAGAGCCCTTTTGATCTTACACTCCCTAGGTTCTGAAGTTTGCACATCTCTACGTATTCTTCCCAAAGTGGAGAAATAGCCTTTCTTTGCTTTTCCTCATATTTTACTGACATAAAAATATGCCATTGTTTGTGATCTGTAGATGTCTGGAAGATGCAAGTTCTACCTAGAAGACAAAGGTAACTTCAAACAAAAGTAGTGACAGTTGTATAGAACAGTCTTCCCCTTCTGTCCTGAACACAATTGGGTGAGAAAAGTGCTATTTGAAGGGGGCTCTAGGAAGATATACTTGTAATAGGACCTACTCATAGAAGATCCCTTCTTCCTCTGGATTCACAGCTTATATTCTCCTTTCAGCAGTGATCACTGTAAGCAGTTTAAGTCAAATAATGAGGAATTTCCTAGGAAAGAATGAAAAATAGAGACTATTGGAAATACTTATATTCTTAAACAAACAAAAACCAGTAAGTCTTCTAAATTTTTTTTCAAAATCCTGTTCCTTTATTAAGTGTATCTTTGTGTCTCCACCACCATCTGTAGTGCTTTAATGTATTAGGTATTCAATAAATGATGATTTTTGGTGCTAAATGTATGATAGATATTAGTTGAGAGTCTACTGTGTGGCCTAATTTTGTTAGGTGGTGTGTGGGTTCCTAAAGATGTTTAAGTCAGGATTACAGGTCTTCCTTGAGTTTACAGTATAGATGGGGACAGAGCAATTTTCAGAAATATTTGACCATTATGTCCTCAAATATTTTGGCTGCCTCAATATATGGAGATTCCAATTGTACTTAGGTTAAATCTTTTTATTAAGTACTACATCCCTAAAGCACTATTATTTTTTTCCTTTCTGCTCTTCAGCTAGGTTAATTAATTTATTAATCTGTCTTCAATTCACTGACTTTTTCTTCTGCCTTTTTTATTCTGTCAGGTTCAGCTAGTAATTTTAAAATCTCAGATGTGTACATTTCAGTTTTAGAATTCCTTCCTTCCTTCCTTGCTTTCTCTTTTTGTACTGGGAATTGAACCCAGGGCTTCATATGTGCTAGGCAAGCACTCTACCACTGAGCTATATCCCCAGCCCTTCTTAGTTTTTGTTCTGAGACAGAGACTTGCTAAGTTGCCCAGGCTGACCACAAACTTGTGGTCCTGCTTTAGCCTCTGGAATAGCTGGGTTTGCAAGTATGCACCACTGTGCCCTTCAGTTTTAAAATTTCTTCTTAGTTCTTTTTTATGGTTTCTACTTACCTAATGACATTATTTTTTCATTTATTACAAGTATTTTTTTACTTGAATGTCATTGACCTTAGTTTATAAAAATTGTTTTATAACCCTTGTCTGCAAATTCAGTATATGAATCATTTATAACCCTTCTCTACACATTTAAGTATATGAATCATATGATCCTCATTGATTTTATTTTTTTTCTTGATATGGTTATATCTTCCTGTTTCTTTGAATGTTGAATAATTTTGATTTGTATCTTGGGCAT